GGAGGTGTTTTTGCTCTACTGTCACTCTGCTGGACAGTGGTTTGCAATCGAAGAGTGCATTACTGGGGAGTTCAGGAAATTCAACAACAACAACGGAGATGAGATCGTCCCCACCAACCTCCTGGAGGAAACCATGCTGGCCTTCAGCCACTGGACGTATGAGTACACCCGCGGAGAGCTGCTGGTGCTCGACCTGCAGGGTAAAAACTCTCAACACTCGAATACCACCACACCAACACTGGCATACCACCACGCTAGATCTCTAAGTGGCACTTTGTTACAAGGATTAAACATTTATTATTCGTGAAGACGGGACATGTAGTTTCTCTGTTTACTGTATGTGACAAATGTGTTTAAATTAATGTTCTTTCTCTGTTGACTACCAGTGCAGAGTTAATATCATAATAATGAAGCGTGTGTGTGTGTGTGTAGGGGTTGGGGAGATTCTGACAGATCCATCAGTTATTAAGAGCGGTGAAAAGGGGTAAGTGAGCTCTCTGAATTTCTCCTTTATTCACCTTTTGAATCATTTTTTCATCATTAGTTTCTTGTCGCTCAGTATTGTAAAGCTGAAGCTGAAGATTTGCTGCCTTTATTTTTCTTATGTGATCATAAACTGAATATCTTTGGGTTTTGACTGTTGCTCGGTTTAAAAAAAAAAAAAAAAAAAGCATTGTAACAAGAACTTGAAGACATTGTGATGGACATTTTTCATAATTTTCTGACATTTTATACTGTAGACCAAACTATTATTTTGATTAAATGTCAACTTTACCAGCCGCTTTTCTAGTAATTGTGCACCACTGTGTGACTCTTGCAGATCCTATGATATGATATTTGGACCTGCCAACCTGGGGGACGATGCTATCAGGAACTTCCGAGCAAAACACCACTGCAACTCCTGCTGTCGGAAACTCAAACTTCCAGGTGAGGGATATTGACTGGTTGCTGTTCAGCTACCTTATTCTTAAACTAAATTACATCACAAATGTGCTTGAAATTGTCACGCTTCAACGCAGGCTTGGGTGATTTAAAGATCCCCTCCAGACGTGTTTTAAAGTCCAGTGTTTGGAGTTGGTTTGTCACTCCACGGAAAAGTGTGGTTTTACCCACCTAGCCAAGTTTGAATGACTAGAAAAATCACCAAGCATATAAAATTAGGTTTAAAAATTGTGATAAAATGAGCAGTCTTCTCTGCTCTGAAATACTGGGGGCGTGTCCGCTGAAGGTTACTTTTGCCTGTGCAATATGGCCGCAACCAGCCAAAGCAGCGTTCTGAGTAAGTTATTAGTAACTTACAGAAACATTGCGTGCAATAGTCCACCTACCACCCTCTGTTTCTCTCTCTGTCTCAAACACTTGTGACACAGCGCTCAGTCGTTGTCTCTGTCCGTCCTCAGTCCTTATAGTAGCGCTACTATAATGCAGGCTTAGGGTTATTGGTTGATTATTTCATGTTTTTGACGGTTTGCTCTCATATCAGGTAGGGTGGGTGCAGGTATTGATAATAGCTGATAGATAGATAGATAGCTGTGGTAAGTGAGTGTTGTAACGATTGAGCAGGAGCTAATGCTAAAGGCTCTAGTGTTTATACAGTCAGTATAGGGGAGGGGTTATTGTAAGGATGGCTCCAGTTTGTCATCCAGCCATGATCTCAAGCCCGCCCAAAATGTCCTGAACACAAAAATGGTGAAAAACAATTTAATGGTGTGTCTTTACAATTCACTACTACACTATAGAATTCCCAGTCTTTTCACATTTTCAGTAACATGTATGATGTGTTCAGAAAGAAATGTCACAAAAACACAAAAAAGGTCCATCTTAAGCGATACTTCGATGAGTTTCACAACAGTGTGGGTAGTATGTGTAAGTGACCTATGTTTAACTTCCTTTCATCTCGCCAGCGCCCAGAGATGAGCAGGGATGATGCAAAATGTGTCATCCAACAGATTTACGCTGGCTCATAGGGTTTTGCTTGAACTACAGTTTATACTTCCTCATTTTTTAAATTCTATTGCCACCACCGACACAAAGAGTGTAGGAGCAGATTGAGAGAGACCCGCCCCCAAGAACAAAGTCTGATCAAACCGTAAAACTAGGCTGTGCTGATCAAATATAAAACAAGATTCTGTTACTGTATTGCCTATGGCTCAACTAAATGGTCTTCAGAAACATATTTTAGTAGACCGTTTAGATATAATTCGAGAGATTGGGAGCAGGAAGTGGGCGCCAATGTTTTTCCTGTATTGTGAAAAACAGCATCTGAAAAAAACTGATTCTGTTACCGGGATTCTGTTACTGAGTTGCCTATTGTTTATATGTGTTCAGAAACATATTTTAGTGTAGCGTTTAACTGTAGTTTAAGAACGTTTTAGTGTACCAGACAAAATTGTTCTGAATTGATCTAAATCACACTCACAGATGGGTTACAGACACATATCTAAGATAACATAACATGGTCTCTGATCTGTTGCAACATCTTCTTTTCTCACATACCTCTCTTTTCTTCCAGATCTAAAGCGGAACGATTACACACCAGATAAGGTGACGTTCCCACAGGAAGACCCTCCCAACCCAGGGGGCGGCGTCAAAGAGTCCCGCCAATCAATGAGGCTGATGCTGTGATCGTTTCAAAGCGAGAGACAGTGAGTGAATGATCATGCAGCGACACCTGTTCTATTTGATTTCAGTCAAAGCCAAGGAGCAGAGAGGCGCACCCAATCAACTGGAAGAATCACACCTGCGTTTCCACGGAAACCAGTGCATGCAGACTGTCATGTTTTTGTTGATCCCGCCAAAATGCTGTGTCGAAGACTATTCAACCATCTTAACCTTTTTGTTTTTTTAGTACATCAATGAGGAAAAGAAGTTTTAAACATATTTTGTACAAGTTTATGAAGATATATATATATATATATATATATATATATGAATATATGAACTGGATATATATCGACAGGTACATTATCATTGCAGAGGGATTATTATTTATTATGACGTTTGAGAAGTTGCCTTGTTTTAACAAAAAAAAGAACAAATCTAAGTGCATTGTACATCTGTTACAGCAGCTTCAGAGAGGACAGCCTGCTGAGATTCAGTCACTGCGACGCCGCAGTTTGCCACCAGATCCTTTTTATAAATGTACAAAGACTTGTATCACAACCTTTTGTCTCTTAGTTAATGAACAGATATACATGAATTTGAAAATCTTGTAAAATATGGGCAGATTGCAATGCAACTTTTACAGAACAATGTATGTAATTTTATTGTATTGAAAGTGTGTCCACCAAAATATTGCTGATAGTTTTTATTGTTACAAAGGTACTATTGCTATATCTTTGTCATCAACTATTGTATGAGCAAATTACAATCTAGTGTATCTTATAGATACTGTATCTGGCATGAGCTGAACAGATTAAAATATTTTATTCAGGGGAACTGACAGACTTAAGGGTATTATTACTGTATACATTTTGTACTGGACATCATTTTAAACAAATAAAATGTTAAAAAGATTCAGCAACATCGCTCATGTCTTAAATGAATGTGTTTCAATGGATTGATAATGTTCACATTCAACTCCCTGCAACTTTTAAGAAGTGAGCATCAGCCATGTCTGAAAGATTTTATTCCAAAGTTCTGATATTCAGTATAAATTAATAATGAAACAATATATCTTTTTTTGTTACTATTAAGCACACAAACCAAACTTTACTGGGACCCAAATGTGAGTATTCTATGCTTTTCCTTTTTATTTATGATCGTAAAAGAGACATATTTTGGACTTGGATTGTTGGTTGTGTATATCTAATCATTTGATTACGTTACTTTTATTTTCTAAAATTTTAGAAACCAAAAAATTATTCAAGAAATTCATTGTTATTTTCACCCCTTATTATTTTCACTGAGGTATGTGTATACCAAACTTTTTCACAAGGGGTGACTAGAATGTGTGGGGGGGGGGGGGGGGGGGGGGGAGAGCCTATCCCAGCTGACATTGGGTGAGAGGCAGGGTACACCCTGGACAGGTCGCCAGACTATCACAGGGCTGACACATAGAGAAAGACAACCATTCACACTCACATTCACACCTACGGACAATTTAGAGTCACCAATTAACCTGCATGTCTTTGGACTGTGGGAGGAAGCTGGAGAACCCGGAGAAAACCCTCGCTGACACAGGGAGAACATGCAAACTCTGCACAGAAGGACCAGGAACATTTTGCTGTTAGGCAACAGTGCTAACCACCACACCACCGTGCCGCCCTAAAATGAAAATGTAAATTCAAAATGTTGCCATCCCATCAAACCCACTGTTGGTAGAGCAGTGAAATCCTGCAGATAAATACGGATGGTAGATTCCTCAATGTATGCCTGCAGCATGAAACAATGAGCCTGGTGTTTAAACCTGGTGGCCTGAAGTCGAAGAGCAGCTGCTGATATTTGAATCCACACACAATAACCTGTTTATCTGCCTCAGACCAAACTGATAGGCTGCTCACCTGTGAGATAGGGGTTAGGGTTAGCTGAGGACACTAAGCTGGCATTTGTGCAGTCACTTTTCCCTCTTATAAATAAAGTGTATCTATACACAACACAAACTGGTCCACATGTGCATTGCAGGGGTTTTTCATCGCTGCAACCATTCCTGCTGTCTATGCAGTCTGTGGAGAGGTCTCTTACTAATGTAGGCGATTTGGGGACAAGATGCACAGTCTTTGTCCTGTGTGAAAAGTGTATAAAGCTCAGCTGAAGCTAATATAAGGCTTCAGCAGTCAGAGTTTGTCCTCCACTTCCATTGGAATAGCACTATTAGTTAGGACTCTCTTACAGCCAGTATGAACAGGAAGAACTATCCAGATATGCTGCAGGAGAGAAATACACTGTACATATTGGTACACCTGTAATTATCTAAAACATACTGGTGGCCTGCTATGACCCATACACCAGACAGACTGGTTTACCCTCCCACTGGGTGTGGTTTGACTTTATATTACTCCATCATGACTCAGCAGCATCACATACAGCACATCCTCGGACCTAAGGTTAACAGCTCCACTTTAACGACAGTCCAGCAGTCTTACACAACATGAGTGGAAGAACAGTCTTGGTTGAATATTGGTAAGTTTATAACTTTATATTGTGCTGCTAAATCTTATAGTTAGGACCGACTGTAATAAACTAATCAACGTTTTGAGGTAAATTTTTAATGTCACATTAGGGTGTGGTCCTGGTACAAGTGGCAGAAGAGTTTAATTAAGCACCTTTAGGGTTTACATATCACTACATGAGGCGGTAACGCAGCACATAATTTAACTAATGATCCGAAGCAGCGCGACGCGAGGGCAAAGCAGAAGTAATCCGAGTAGACTTTCGTTAATCTAAATTGGCCATAAACGCGGAACTACTTCTCTCTTCACTGACTCTGGCGTCAAGTACGGCTTATTTTGACTCTTATAGAAATACTTTTTGAGTGTAAGAGTTTGTAACGCCGTTTCCACCGAGCAGTCCGGTCCGGTTCAGGTCGGTACGCTTATTTCCGTTTACACTGTAAAAAATGTTTGGGGTACCAACGGAACCGTGTACCGTTTCCAATTCTAGTCACCTCTCAGTTGCGCACAGACTCGGTACTAAAGCCCCGTTTCTACCAAATACTTTGAGTAGGCTTTGGAAACGAAAGTTACCCTCCTCCAGACATGTTGTCAACACCCTGGCGTTTCCAGACAGTGCTCTTAACTGTGAGCGGAGTTGTGGTGACTCACTCTCAAAGTCAAGGCTCCTTCCTTGGTAGTATGAGTCCTTCCTTCCCTCCTACAGAGGCAAGGCAAGAGTCCTTCCTAGCAGTCAGCGAACACACATTTGAAACAGGTTAACAAGTGTCCCCAGGTGTGCGTCATCAACCCTCAGCTGACTGAGAGAGGTTCAGGGTACTGTGATGATTTTGGTTGTTTTTCCACCATTTTCTCCTCTGCTTGAGAAACTCTTAAGCCTCTTAAAAGTCCTCCCAACAGTTTATCACCTTAGGAGCTCTGTTAAGGTCTAAGTTCCTCTGTGAATACCTTTTATCTTTACCAGGATCTAGTCTTAACTTTAAGGGAGTTTCATCACTAGGAGCGACTCTTAGCACCAGGACGCTTTGTGAATGCGGCCCCAGAGATACAAAACACAAAGACAACAAACAAAACCAAAAAAAGGCACAAAATAGATTAAATTAAGCGTAACCATTATAATAAGGCTGAATAAGGAATTCAAAATATTTACTCATTACCAGTTAATCTATAGTAATCTATATAAGTCTTTTGCACATTTGGAGTTAATTAATTAATTAAGTCTTTTGCACATTTGGAGTTAATTAATTAATTAATGTAATCAACTTTACACCGAGTAAGGGACTCGGTGTAAAGTTGAATTTTAATTTTAGTAGCCAATAAAGATGGGTGGGGTTTAAATAAATTTAGCTCTGTGAATAAAAAAGTTGGCTTGATCACCAGGTTCAATTTGTTATCTGTTAATGACACACCAAAAAGAATACTCCAATGATCTAAAGCAGGCATTGTTGAGGTTTTCTACTTAACTACTCTCTAAAGTGTTTTCAGAATAACTGTATGAGAGCATGAAATTCGGATACTGTTGATTGGTCAATACACGCTGACATTTTCCGAACAAAACAGAACAAGCTAGTCTCTCTCCATGGGATATTTAAAAATAGCCGGTTTGTGCATTGAGTCCTTCTCAGGCAAGCTCAGGTGTTAATGTTGCCGTAGCCCACAGGAATGTGCTCCACCCCTCTTTTTTTTTCTCCAAATGAGGATTAGAATATATGCAGTTGACATAACCTAATCGAAATCATTACATATAAACGCTTAAAGATCCACTCATTACTAAAAATGTATGTCATATGAAAACTCATTTTCAAAGATGTCGCAATGACCTTTAAGGTGTGCTGATTGATTCACGTCATCAGCTCATGCATTGAGTAACATTACAAGTTAACGTTCTACCTTAAAAGTTGCCGGCAGTCGGCCCGGTGAATTATTTCTTGCTCAGTCTCGGTTGCTGCCAGAGGCAGCAAAACATCCTTTCATTTTATAGTCACAGTTTAATAATAAAGCTCTCCACGATATGAACAGTGGTTACATGAGCCTCAAAACCAGCCACAACTCGGCCCTGAGCAGAGTGACCGTCTACTATTGACCAATCAACAGACTGCAGTGTTCACAGCTCCACCTTTCATGTCAATCAATCATCAATCAATTTTATTTACAAAACCCAATATCACAATGTGACAATAATGAGGTCTATTGTGTGTCTCATTCGGGTTGTTTTGTATAGTGGCACAGGATGAGGTTATCGCCCGCGCTTCCAGAAGCTTGCCAATGCCATCCGGGCAGAGGTTAACGATGTGGACGTGGTGGGACGAGAGGGGGGGGGCGGTAAGCTGCTTTGTCTTATATGTCAATATCCTTCAAACGTTACTGCACCTGTTTTTGTTCCCAGGTTTCATTGTGTTGACAGGAGTAACTTTGCCTTTTAGCAATGACATACTGTTTCAAGTCTCCTTTATATAAACCTGTTCGACTGGTTGTCGTGCCAAAGCAGATAATGTGTGTACATAATGAATCATATTATACTGAACTGACACGGATGCATTTCCATTTTACACTGTCTCATTTTTCACCCTTACAGGTGCCTTTGAGGTGTCACTGAATGGTGAGGAGGTCCACTCCAAGCTCAAGAAGGGAAGGTTTCCTGATAATGACGAGGTTAGTATGTTTGTGAGATAGATATATTTGTAAAAAGTGACATCTTATTTACAATGTGACATAAAAAAATATGTGATTAACTTACTTTTAAGGGACTGCTGATAATTTTCTTATGAATACACATTTTTAAACATACTGTTTTAATTCTCTTCAGTGATATTTTCTTTAATTGTTAATTAACTATTGAAATATACCTGAGGGTTAGGGTCATACAAAGATTTGTATCTCAAACAACAATAAAAAAAAATGTCTAGAAAACTATTTTATTAAAGCATTCAGCCAATACTTTACACTACACATTTCACCCGACTATGTTCTTCACAGTAGTGCGTAATAATAAGCTGTTGTGGTTTGGGCTTCACACCCACATGCAGTACGTTAGACTCCTAAGAATGTGGGTGTGTTAGCCCATATACCTATGAACTAAATTAAGTATGTCATGTTTGAAGCCATACATAGTTAAAGGTATTCTGTGCAGGATTCTTCCTAAAAAACATTGGCCCTAATTTATCAATCTAATGTACAAACCAGCACAGATCCGAGGGCAGAAATCGTCTTACGACAGGGTTCGTGTGTGATTCATTCTTATCTCGCAGATCACAGCGTGTCATAGGAATGAAAGCTGATAAATGTGGCGGCTGAAAACAATCATCATTTACAAATCCCGCCCCAATATAGTCTGGGTTTAGAGGCCTCGACCCTTGAGTTTACAATATGGAGAGACATAATACAGCGAAGAAGAGATACTTCTCTAAGCTGGAAATGCAAAAGCTGACGTATTAGGTCCAGTTTAACCAACTGGTTCCATTTGGCAGCCTGAAAAGTGACATTAAAGGAAGTCAGAAAAACACAGTATGGAACATTTAATTTATACATCTATAATAAGTACCAACCTAAAGCCTACATTATGATATACTACATTATATTGGTATTGTTATAATAGCCTTTTAATATAAAAGCTTACAAATCAGGAGTGTGTGACCACACATGTCAGGTCTGCCTTCATTTCAGGCTTAAGGTGGCTTAAGAGACACACATGCACCTCCAGTAAAAATGTAATAACCCATAGGCTAATAGTATTTGAAGAATTACATTGTTGTAGGGTTGTTGACTTTTTTCATTGGTGTTCTAATGATAAATGATCTAAACATGCTTAGGTTGGTCAGAAGTAAAAAAAAAAAAAAAAAAAAAAACTTAATAAATGCTGAGCTTTGCATGGAAACGACCGTACACTAAGTTTTCTGTTGTATGTTCGTTTCATAAATAAGGGCCAATGTCGTGACTCATACGAAAGTAATCCCTCTGAATCAAAACTTATTATCCATGAAAAGTGTGTGGCAGTGTATTTATCTGCAGAGACCCCCCTCTACCTGTATTATCTTCTTATTTTGCTGTGTTCAGGGACAACGTTCAGGTGAGGTCAGGACAAATTAAAAAAGTAGGTGCCAGACCATAAGCAGCAAGCATCCAAGAGGAAGATACAGCACTAAATATATACAAATATAGCATACAAGAGTGCATTTGGGGTCGGCTTTCACTTTTGCTGGCGATATTGTTTAAAAATGGTAACCGACAATTCCTGCGTAGTATACCTATAACTTAGTTTCTGTTTCAGTATTACATAGTTAGTCATTCAGGCACAAAAATACAGGGGGAAAACCAGGATTTTTTTTTTTTTTTTCCTGTGACATTTCTGGTTACTGACATCATGGGACACACATGAACAGAGAGAACAGAGTGTACATTATATTTGAAATAAATGAAAAACAATTTTATTCCATTTTCCACAATAAACAAGTCTACGGCCCTGCTAGCAGCATTGTGAGGCTGTAAGGCACAGCTGAGCTTTGAGCCAAATACTATTGCCAGCATGCTCATAGTGATAATGTTAACATGCCGATGTGTAGCTGGCTTAGTGTTTACCATATTCACCATCTTAATTTACAATGTAAGATTACTAACATTTACCAAAATCCCCAGAGCTACACTGCTAACGGCTTCACAAAAGGTCAGCTGGGATAGGCTCCAGCACCTCCGCGACCCCCAATGGGATAAGTGCTTACAGAAAATGAATGAATGAATAAATGAGAAAAGTAAATTGTACTAACTTCAAAAATGTTTTGTGTTTCATGTGATCAGGTGGTCAAGGCTTTGAAGAAGAGACTTGGCTAAGAAAAACATCTGCAAAGGCCTCCAAGCATGAGAGGATGGAGGTCAAAACACCAGCTGTATTCACACTACAAGAACAATGGTTTGATCTTTATGGCTCAGACTACATTCTGTCACGGCTCTCTATCTAGTTTTCAATGAAGAAAAATATGACATTAAAACATTTTTAAAATTCTAATTTAACCTAAATTGAAACCCTCAAGTGTCACCGTCAGCCACGAGAAGAAGATCAGACCATTAATCTTCACTGTGAATACAGACAAAGACCAGAAGATGACGAGAGTAACTCTGAGGAGCCAGGCGCTGATCTGCACTTCTGTTTATGAATGGACTCACTAAAAGCCATGTAGTGTGTTCATGATGCAAGCCTAGAAGCTTTTCAGCCGGCTGGAGCCTGAGGAACTGCTCTCGTCATGTCCGTCTGCCGTTTACTCAAACATAAAACCTATCTACAGCTGCATTTACTCAGGAATAGAAAATCAGAAAATGTAACTCTGTTATATATTTCATATTTCTCTGTTTAGATAACTCCAAATGTTTTCAGTCTGTGACATCACAGGGCACAAATTAAAGGAACAGTTTGACATTTCTGGAAATAGGCTTTTTGGCTTTCATGCCAAGAGTTAGCTAGATGAGACGATCGATACCACTCTCATGTTTATACGATGAATATGAAGCTACCACCAGCAGCCTGTTAGCTTATCTTAGCATGAAGACTGGAAGCTGGGAGACACAGTCAGCCTGGCTCCGTCCTGTCAACACAATCTGCCGACCAGCACCTCTAAAGCTCACTGATTGACATGTGATGTCTGGTTTGTTTAATCTGTACAAAAACCAGAGTGTTTAAGTCACAAGTTGCTGCTGACAGGAGGTTATGGGCCGGACTCTTTCTTGGCTTGGACCAGTAACCTTCTGGAGTCGTGCTACTGGTCCACGCCATGAAATAGTCCGGCTCCTAACCCCTCTGTAAAATGGCAAATGTCATCTGTGCACTGTGGTTTTTGTACAGATCAAACAAGATATACAGCAGCATGTGAATCAGTGAGCTTTAGAGGTTGTGGTCGGCGGGTATTTGTTACCTTTGGACAGAGCCAGGCTGGCTGTTCCCCCTGTTTCCAGTCTGTATGCTAAGCTAAGCTAACCAGCTGGTGGTAGCTGTATATTTACCGCACAGACATGAGAGTGGTATCGATCTTCTTAATTTACTCTGCAAGACAGCAAAATAAACGTATTTCCAAAGATGTTGAACAATCCTTTACATTTAGGGTGGTCAAACATAAAGTGTGCCACTATTTTCCTCTCTGATTTGGAGACAAACAAAAAGATTTTTCAAATGTTATTAAAGCCTCACACACAGTGCATTTACTGTATGGACGACCACCCCATTCAGATATCAATACCTGTATTTCTAGAACTGCATTCATACTCTAAAATACTTCATAGACACAGACTCATTAAATTCTAACATATCAGATCGATTTTAAATCCACATCTGCCACATATGCTCTGCTTTCTCAAACAAATGCATGCACTATAGCCTTATTATATCATGAGATCTTTCATTTGACTTTGGAAATACCTTTGAGCTTTTCAACAACTCACGCCACTGTTATATCGTTGTGTCACCTGTAATCATCAAGACACACAAATGCAATAAAATATCACTGATAAAACAACAATGATTTTGACACTGCTTATTTAATGGTGCTGAGTTATACTGAAAAAGAAGGCTACGCAAGTCTGTATTCAAATTGCTGTGTGTGTGTGTGTGGTGATTGGTGCCAGCTGAGGACACTGAGCTGGTGTTTGTACTGTCACTTTTTTTCCTCTGAGCCTTTAAGTATAGGTTTGTATTTTTCAAGTGTATCTTAACACAACATTAACTGGTCCTTATGTGCATTGAAAGCGTTTCTCGTCGCTGTAACCATTCCTCCTGTCTCTGCCGTCCATGAAGAGATCACTGACTAACGTAGGTGACTGGGGGACAAGATGCACAGTCTTTGTCCTGTGTAAAAAAAATGTATAAAGCTCAGCTGAAGCTAATATGAGGCTTCAGCAGTCACAGTTGGACAAATAGATTTATTTTGGTGCGAAAGACAATTTTGTCCTTCATCTGCATTGGAACAGCATCACTAGTTAGGACTCTCTTACGGCCAGTATGATCAGGAGGATCCAGTAACTCTTGTGACATACTCAGGGTTCCCATGGTCATGGAAAACCTGGAAAAGTCATGAAATTTCACAATGATATTTTCCATGTGTTGACCTGTTTTGTGTAATGAAATTGTTACAGTAATCTTTCATGGACGACCCTCCACCTAATATAACATAAGGTCAAATTTATTTTCTGTAGCTGCTGATGCATCATTGCTCTAATATGCGTTGATGTCACGTCTCCTCAGCTTCTCCCAGAGTTCCCTGTCTCTCTTCATGTATGCCAGCTTGCTCAGATTGTGTTTGACTAGTTTGAATTTGCTACGTCTGAAAAACACCTGGCAAGTGGGGCAAGAAAAACATAAATGCATTATGGGTTCTTGAAAAGTCATGGAAAAGTTTTGACATTTTGAAAGTGTAATTATCCTAAATAATACTGGTGGCAGCAGGTATGATGTATACACTAGACAGACTGGATTACCCTCCCATTGGGTGTGGTTCACCTTATAATAGTCCAAGATTCACAGCTCTGCATTACATACAGCTCATCTTCGGACTCTGCATCAACTACAGAGCATACAGCTGCACACAGACCTGTTGCAGAAACATGACCAGAATCATCGTTGAATATAGGTGAGTTTACAACTTTATATTGTGCTGCTAAGTCTTGTAGTTAGGATAATAATAAAGTAATTAAGGTTGGCAGGTAGATTCATGTTTAATTTCAAATTAGGGTGTAGTCCAGGAACACCTGGTTGAAAATACATTATGTGCATTACATGTCAGAAGGCTGCTTGATGCGTCAGATTTTATTTTCCATTTTAACTAACATTAATTTCAAGAAGAAGAAGCTCAAGGACAAAGTAAATATATATTTGGGTAGACTCCTACTATGCAGGGTTGTTAGTTATTTTTTGTAAACATGCAGGCCAGTGAAGGTGAAAGAAAAAACCAACCCCAGATTCTCTTTCGTTTGGCGTTTCGCCTCACTATGTTTGTGTTTTTTCGGTGCTGTTATTCTTAGATGCCTGCTGAGAGTCTAGCAGCTGGTCTCTACTGTTATATAAAACTCCAACTTCACCTGAGCACCGCAGGGGAACACACCCATCAGTGTCCTGAACACAACAAAATAAGACAAGTACCTACAGGCAGAGTGCAGAGTGTGCAGATAGACACACCAACACAACCTTCTAGTGGGTCATTAGTGATGATTAAGAGGAATTATTCCTGTATGAGCCTGGCTGAGTATGTACAAGGTTGTGGAAAATCCTCCATAGTAGCCAGTAGCAGTAGAAGCAGTAGAATTATTATATAACTGGACGTAATGTTACGTATGTAGGCTGCATATTTTACTTCATGTAGGTTATTAATGCAGAAATAGCCTGTTTCTTTCTGCATTGAACTCCAGCTTCAAATTCTGCATATTTTGACCTGTGCGGAAAACTTTTATGAGAATGAGAGTTTCTATGTGGTAGTATTATGGTTGTTATTTGTTACAGTGGATGATGAACCTCTGCGGGGCACTTCCGGAAGCTTGCCAGTGTCGTCCCAACCCTGGTCCATGGTGTGACGGTCGAGGGACACAGAGGGAGGCCGAGTAAGCTGCTCTGTCTTTCTACACTCATGCAGCACTGTATGGAGGCCAACTCTGGCCACTAAGTTAAAAAAAAAAAGACTTTCAGTATAAAAAAAAAGAAAAAAAAAATAGAATTAGACCCCGCGGTTGTTTGCCTCTGAGCTCCTGTCAAGTTGCAATTATAGTTTACATCCATGTGTGTGAAAACCATGGCTGCTTCACACACATCTCCCACCTGCAGCACAGAGGATCTATTCAATGTAATAATTATTTAATAATTCAGTATCAGACCAAATGTCTCCTCCTCTGTTCCTGAGTTATGATGTTGAGTAATGGCCAGAAAAGTGTTTTATGCAGAATATTATGATGCCACTGTGAAGTTGACCTTTGGCCTTTTGGATATAAAATGTCATCACTTCATCATTATATCCTCTTAGACATTTGTGTGAATTGTCGTCATAATTAGTGTATGAATTCTTCAGTTTTGGCCACACATATTGTTTTGTGAGGTCACAGTGACTTTGACCTTTGACCACCAAATTCTGATCAGTTTGTTTTTTAGTCCAAGTGGATGTTTGTGCCAAATTTGAAGTAATTCTCTAAGGAGTTTTTGATATATCGCATTCACAAGAATAAGACAGAGAAGGTTACAGTAGCCTTGACCTTTTACCTTTGACCACCAACATCTGATCAGTACATTATTGAGTCCAATGGGATGTTTTTGCCAAATTTGAAGAAATTCCCTCTGGGTGTTCTTGATATACCCTGCTCATAAGAACGAGTTAGGCTATTTGTTGTGCCAAATATGTCCCCAGAAATATGTTTGAGTGTTTATATGTCAGAATCTTTCAAAGCGTGCTGTGAAATATGCCTGTGTTTGTTCTCAGGTTTCATTGTGGTGACAGGAGTTCAGTGTCCTTATTTAGCCTTCCAGCAGTGACATACTGTTCCCAGTTTCTCAGATAAACCGGTTTTGACTGGTTGTGGTGCCAAAGCAGATAATGTGTGTGCATAATGAACTACATTATATATTGATTTGACATGGATGCATTTTAATTTTCTCATTTTCCACCCCCACAGATAGCTTTGAGGTGTCAGTGAACGGTCATTTGATCTACTCCAGGTTTAAGACGGGACTGTTTCCAAAATCTCAGACGGTCAGTGTGTTAGTGAGATGGGTATCTACTATTTGTAAAAAGTGACATTGTATTTACAGTATGACATTAAAAAAAGTTCAAATTCATTTTAAGTAACTGTTGGTAAATGACTTATGAAAACATATTTTTAGACTGACAACATTTTTGTTAACTGTTCAAATCATAACGTAGGGTTAGGGTCATAATAACATTTGTATCTCAAGTAACATTTGTTTTTTTCTTCATCTAGAAAACAGCCAATACTTTACATGACATGTTACACCCGTCTGTGTTCTTCACAGTAGTGTGTAATAGTACTGTAATAGCGTGTAATAGCACATAAGGACCAGTAGTGTATAGAACTGTTGAGATATTTCAGTTTGGACCAAAGTGGAGGACTGTCAGGACATTACAGGAAAAGTAAACTGTCCTAACTTTAAAAATGTTTTGTGTTTCATGTGACCAGGTGGCGGAGAGGGTGCAGAAGATAATTGACAAAGAAAAAACATCTGCAAAGGGCTCTAAGCATTAGAAGATGGAGGTCAAAACACCAGCTGTATTCACACTGCAAGAACAATGGTTTGATCTTTATGTTCTCCCACAGCTCTCTATCTGAATACAAAAGTGAATTCAGCAATTAAAGTATGACATTAAAACATTTTTAAAATTCTAATTTAACCTAATTGAAACCCTCAAGTGTCACCGTCAGCCATGAGAAGACGATCAGACCATTAATCTTCACTGTGAATACAGACAAAGACCAGAAGATGACGAGAGTAACTCTGAGGAGCCAGGCGCTGATCTGCACTTCTGTTTATGAATGGACTCACTAAAAGCCATGCAGTGTGTTCATGATGCAAGCCTAGAAGCTTTTCAGCCGGCTGGAGCCTGAGGAACTGCTCTCGTCATGTCCGTCTGCCGTTTACTCAAACATAAAACCTATCTACAGCTGCATTTACTCAGGAATAGAAAATCAGAAAATGTAACTCTGTTATATATTTCATATTTCTCTGTTTAGATAACTCCAAATGTTTTCAGTCTGTGACATCACAGGGCACAAATTAAAGGAACAGTTTGACATTTCTGGAAATAGGCTTTTTGGCTTTCATGCCAAGAGTTAGCTAGATGAGACGATCGATACCACTCTCATGTTTATACGATGAATATGAAGCTACCACCAGCAGCCTGTTAGCTTATCTTAGCATGAAGACTGGAAGCTGGGAGACACAGTCAGCCTGGCTCCGTCCTGTCAACACAATCTGCCGACCAGCACCTCTAAAGCTCACTGATTGACATGTGATGTCTGGTTTGTTTAATCTGTACAAAAACCAGAGTGTTTAAGTCACAAGTTGCTGCTGACAGGAGGTTATGGGCCGGACTCTTTCTTGGCTTGGACCAGTAACCTTCTGGAGTCGTGCTACTGGTCCACGCCATGAAATAGTCCGGCTCCTAACCCCTCTGTAAAATGGCAAATGTCATCTGTGCACTGTGGTTTTTGTACAGATCAAACAAGATATACAGCAGCATGTGAATCAGTGAGCTTTAGAGGTTGTGGTCGGCGGGTATTTGTTACCTTTGGACAGAGCCAGGCTGGCTGTTCCCCCTGTTTCCAGTCTGTATGCTAAGCTAAGCTAACCAGCTGGTGGTAGCTGTATATTTACCGCACAGACATGAGAGTGGTATCGATCTTCTTAATTTACTCTGCAAGACAGCAAAATAAACGTATTTCCAAAGATGTTGAACAATCCTTTACATTTAGGGTGGTCAAACATAAAGTGTGCCACTATTTTCCTCTCTGATTTGGAGACAAACAA